AACTCTGCTGACCAGACAGAAGCCAGGATTGAGCAGGGTGTCGGGATGCAAGAGATAAGTCACAGACTCTGTCAGGAGTCGGATGGCGCCATGGCAAATAGAGCACTCGGCATCTGAGCAATTCTAGCAGGTCTGGTTCATATTTGTGTTCTCAGGCCTGGGAACAGAGCAAAAGCAAGATTAACCTTCATTGAATGAATGACCAAGTGAGCAAACGGGCAACCATCCTCACAGCCAGGAAAGCGCACACTGCTACCAGTTGGTCATTCCTGAGCACAACTTCAGTTCAGAAAAAAGCACTCACCTGGATGCACAGGTGTGGGGTTTTAACCCTTGTCCCTAATGCTGGTGGTACATGTAGGAGCCAGGCCTGATCAGCAACAATGAAATTAATAAAAGGCTGGTGATGATTAATAGAGAAAACCACCTTATGGTTACATAATTGGGGCATTGGGGTGGGCATGGTGACTTGCTCTATAATCCCAACTAAATTAAGCATTGGCTTAACCCCCACCGACACTGAGAACACGAGGGGTATCCCTGGATTTCTGGCATCTGATTGCTTGTGAGGTCTCAGCCTGTTACTAAAAAGGGCCAAATATTTAGTTGTCATATCGGAGCCCGGTTCCCAGGGCCTCCATGTCCTTCCCCACATCTCCAGGACTGTTTTCAAACTTCGGGATTTTGTTGATCTGATGGGGAAAAAACAGAATCTTGATACCATTTTAATTCGAAATTCTATTATCATGTGGGAGACCAAATGCCCTTTTTCATGTTCTGGAGCCACCTTCTGGATTTCTGTTACTGTGAACTGTCTTCATATCTGTACTTACAGAGATTCTTTCTGTAGTGTGGACAGTAATCCTTTGTTATTTGTGTTGCAAATTGTTTCTCCTTGTCTGGATTTCCTCCGGAGAAGTTTTGATTTTTCACATCATCTTCAATGTAGCTTGGGGGCTGAGATCAGAAAGATATCCAACTTATCTTTTTCCAAATGGGTAATGACTTAACACAATTTATTGAAGAGCCTGGATTTTCCAAACAATCCAATTTGCCACATAAATCAAATAGTAATTTATATATATATATGGATATATATGCACATAAAATCCTATATAAAAGCTCATTTGTTTACTTACAGATATAGTGATAGAGGGAACGCTACATAACATATGTAGATAAATAGATTGCTCTCTCTCTATGGACATCTGTCTACAGGTATAAAATCCACCATTGCTGGCACTTATTTCAAGGTATAGATCTATCTTCTGGCTATTCCTGCACTGAGAGCACTGTATACTTTGCAACCATTTAAAATCTAAAATAAAAGGAAGGCTATGCTAACTCATGTAATAATGGCACCCACACTGCCCATTCATGGGTCCCCTCCATCACAGAAAGGGAGTGACACAAGGTCTGCAGAAGGGGCCTGTCAAGCCTTTGCCTCTCTCCTTGTCACCAATACGAGGGCCCCTGAGGGCAAAGACTGGCAGCCATTAGCTCTGACCCTGGCTTCTAGCCTGGCAGCTTCCTTCCATGCTCAGTTGACCTGGGCTGAGCCTGTCCCCCCCACAAACACCCCTGCCTCCCTGCACTGCCTGCATTGTGACATGCGTGGACCCTTCTGGCCAACATCCAAACAGAGCCCAGGCTTGGCAAGAACTCAGAGCAGTTCTGCAAAGCTTTGTTGCAGACTGAAGTGAGCTCAGTTTTTAATTCAATTCTCTTTTCCCTGTAACAAGCAAAGTTCACATTACAGATAAATTGCCCGGAAATTCCAATTTAATAAGGCCTGTGCATTTTTAAGAATTAAAGCACAGAAAGTATTTCTATACTGAGAGTCTTATTAAAAAGACAGTTTCAGAAATGTCAGAAATTTACATAGTGTGCCCGATCAGTTGGCCAAAGGGCTGATTTGACAAAAATGCTCAAAAGCCAAGAAGTAAAAGAGCTGTTGATGGGTGGGCCTGAGGCTCTGTCCCCTTTGAGTCAAGGAGGACACACCTCCCACTCAGGGTCACCCCAACTCTTAGTTTTGATTATGTGGGCTGCTGGAGCCAGCATGGATGCTTGGAGGCACTTGGCAGATGGAGCCATCTGTCCATCCTCGCTGCCCTTGGTGTGGCTCTGAGGGGGAGCAGAGAGCTGGGCAATGAGGGGCCTGGGACCTAGGCACACCTGCACAAGGGGCCATGGGAAGAGGCACCAAATAAACAGAGTAAAACAGCAAACAGGTTAATTGCAACTGCAAAACTGTAGCAGCATAAGACAAAAAAATAAATGACAGAAACAAACAGTGTTGCTTGAGAAGCTAGATTATTTAATTCAGTTTTTATTTATATTTTAAACTGAATTGAGTAATGAGGGAATAAAATACGGCCCATTTAAGATTGTCATCATTTCAAATCTGTTGAACCACCACGAATCACTCCTAGATCTGCTGATAAAAAGAAAAACAAATGTCGCCTTTCTTTGAATTTTCCCCTCCTGTAAATGATCCAACTGAAAGAGAAAAGGTGCAGTACATTTAACTGTGCATCCACCATGGGCGAGAGCTCAGCCCTGGAGAAGCCCAGTGGACAGCTCCTGGCCTTGGATTTAGGAGAAGACTGTATGCTGGGGAAAGCCCAGCCCCTAGAATCCATCAGTCCTGTGTTAAATTCCAACTCCACCTTAGCTGGGCAACTTTGGGCAAGTTGCTTAGCCTCTCTGATTTTTGGCTACCTCATCTTCAAAACAAGGATGACACCCTCTTCATCAGGTTGTTGTGAATCACAAAAATAAATATGGTGGCACCCATATCATCTAGCACAGAGCTGGGCACAGGTAAGCATTCTTTGCTTATTTCTGACAACCTGTACCTCATCCTGAAACCAAGATGCTTCGAGGGTAGTGAAGGAGGCAAACCTACAGGACCTATGCTACGCTCTGGCCAGCAAAGCACATCAGACCTGTGCCCAGCAAGGGCGATTAATTCTACCTCGAAGTTGTGCAGAACAACCAAGAGATGTTTGAGTGGGGTCATGAAAAACAGCAGGTGTTTGCCACATGAGGGCAGAAGTTACTGTGGACTGGAAAGGCCAGCTTTTATAAAACGTTGTAAGCATTGTCAGAAGCAGCATGTCTAACATTTCAGTGATAGCCAAAGCTTGTGGAACCTGCATCAGCCTCTCACACGCCATCTGGCTCATCACAGCCACAGTGTAGCACATTGTCCCCAGCACTGTGACATTTTCAAAGCATTCCTGGCATGGTGCAGGTTGTGCGGAAATAGGACCCACTGACCGCTGGTTGTGGTGACACACCCAAGGCCTGACTGAGACAGAGGCAGCACTCATGGGCACACTGCATGGAGCCCACACTTGATGTCAGTGTCTTTACACTCACAGCCACCCCACAAGGTCCCTGTGATTGTCTCCAGGTCACAGAGGAGGAGTGGGAAACACAGCAAAGAGTTCTGCCTATCTGTATCTCCCTCACCTGTAGAAGGGATAACAACATCACTGTCCCTGCTGGGCTGGTGGGAGGGCTGGAGGAGCACAGACCAGCCTCAGGCCCAGGATGGCCACCCCCAGAAGGGCACCCAGCAAGAGGCTGATGCTTCTGCACTTGATTCAGTGTTATTGAATGGGCACTTTGCCCGAAGATTGCCATGGGAGGGACAAGCCATTGACCTCTAGGGATCCAGTAGGTGCCTGTCTGGTCGCCAGGGTCATGTGGGCTTCTCCTGTTCTGTGTCTCAAATCTGCTTTGCCTTCTATAAGGACACTTGCATTTAGCACACCCCTAGGCAGCCCAGGTAACCCAACGTGATCTCCCCACCTCAAGACCCTCACCTTAGTCAGATCTTCACAGCCTTTGCCACTTGAAGGGGACATGTATAGTTTTGGGATGAGGGCGTGCACATCTTTCCCACCGTGGTGACTGGGTGGTGACCTGCTACAAGGTCTTCATTTGGAAATGTGCAGTCCCACTGGTTAAGGCAGGTTTTAAGCATACACAGAACCAAAGGTGGCCATGCAAGGCTGAGATGTCCACTTTGAGCATCATACCAGCCTGACAAGCTGTCAGTTCTCAGGTCTCCTCAGCGGGGCTTATTTTAGAGACTGGTAGGCAATGGCAGGAAGTGCCCACAGGTCTGTTTCTAGTCCACAGAAATGAGAGTCACATTCAGTTGACATCTCCCTGGCAGGGAAGACTTTCACGCTTACTGGATGCATCTCCATACAGTTCAAACTTCCCACAGCATCCTGAAAGTAACATTTTAGAACCTTCCATGGTTTCCTGTGATCCAGAGTCCAGACCCCTGACATGGAGCTCAGGTTCTTTAGAACCTGGCTGAGTCTGTTTCTTCAAACTCATTTACTTCTCCTAAAGCAGCTCTGTTCCAGCCACAGCCCCGACCCTCCAGCCCCAAGCATGAGTGCGTGCAGCAGGTAGCTACTGAGTGCTGCTCAGGTGCAGTGTGCTAAGACCTGGGGCTATGGCCATGAATAAACAATCGTTGGCCTGGTGGAAATGAATTCTAGAGACCATTCCAGGTGTTCACCAACACTTCTTTGTCCTCTCACAACCTCCTCCCCATTTTCCTGTCTTAATCCACATGTGGTATTTTCATGAAGTCCCTGGGTCACCCTTGTCAGAAGTAATGGCCTCTCCAAGCATTGATGTATCCTGCCTGGCCCTCCCAATAGTGCTTCCCCTCCTGACTGCATGCAAGGGGCACTGGAGGTGTGAGAGAAAGACTGGACTTGGCCTCCATGAGAGCCCAGTGGGTAACAAGAGCACCCTCATGGTAGACTTGTGAACAGGAAAGGAGGCAAGCACACCAACACAGAGCAAGCTCAGAGTTGACTGTCAGCTGTCACCGTAATGAGCAATCAGCAATGTACGTCACTGAAATGACCTGGTATGCAGCAGAGGAGCCAGGTCCCCACACTCAGGAAATGTTTCTTGCCTCTAATTTGAATGTATTCTGTTGTTTCCAATTTTTTCTTCAGGTACTCTGTGTACAAGGACCCCGCAGGCTGGCTGAATATTAACCCCATCAATGGGACTGTTGACACAACAGCTGCGCTGGACCGGGAGTCCCCATTCGTCCACAACAGTGTCTATACTGCCCTCTTCCTGGCCATCGACAGTGGTAAGTAAATTAAAAATGACCATCAAGGGTCATTTGTCCATTTCAAGTATATTTTCCCATCTCCATGTTTCTTCTAATATGCCCAGAGAGAATATGATGAGCAAGCCCAGGGAAGTTGATACCCAAACACACACACATTGAGTCAGTGACATTCCCACATCTGGGTATTCTTGGGTCTTTGTGGGAAGGTAAGGATGCCCAGTCAGGGGTCAGGGAAGTAAGCATGCTGTGCTCCAGCTGGGGTAGGCACCAAGGTGTAGAAGCCATGCCACTGTCCTTCATCTGGGTGTCATGCTCTCATCTGCAGAGAAAGTCCTATGATGTGCTGCAAGGGAATTGATTCATGGCTTTTATCCTCTTATGAGATGCGACCCCAGCAAGATATTGGTTGTACCCAGCCAGTGGCTCCATAACCACCAAACACGTGCTGCTCATTCCCATGCTGACAAAGCCATATCCACATGCAAACCGCTGTTTCAGATGCTGGGGGTCCAGTAGTGAGCCCCCCAAAACCTGTCCTCAAGTGGGATGTTAGTGAACAAGCAAGCAGATTTCAGTGGTGTGAGCATTCTCTGTTCTTGTGAGGTCAGACTGTGGGGGCACAATGGTGGCCATAGGAAGACCTCTTAGCAGACTTATGGTAATCTAGGCAAGATGGTGGCATGGATGAAAACAGAAGGGCTGAGAAGGGAACCAGCTCTGGACGTGTCCTGTGCATTGTGAATACAGAGTTGACAGGATTTGCCATGACTGGGAGAAGATCAGGATGGGCTTTGAGCATGTTAAACTCTGATGTCAATTGTATGAAGTACATGAGAAGTTTTGTTCTAGTTATTACTCCTAAAAGTCAGCTGTTCATAACTAACAACTCAGTTGGAATCCTTATAGGTTGAGATGAAAGTTTATAGGCTCCTTATAAGTGCCCACCATTAACAACAGCAAGGTGTGAACTAAGAGCTCTTAGACCATCTCCCTCTGCTGGGTGCTTACACATACACCAAGCAGGAGTAGTAGCCGTGGGCTGGTGGAGTGGCTCAAGTGGTAGAATGCCTGCCTAGCAAGTTTGTAAGCCCTGAGTTCAAACCCCAGTACTGCCAGAGAGAGAGACAAGGAGAGAGAGAGAGAGAGAGAGAGAAATAGTTGCTGTGTGATACACAACAGGCAGAGAGGGCGTCACTGTGACGTCAACCCTTGAGGTTAGCCTTGAAGGAAGAGGACTTGGTAAGGGGAGGGTAGGAAGTAGGGCTGACTAAGTGTGGAACAGGAAACCAAAATCAGAAGGAGAGAGGCACAGGATCGGGAAGGCAGAGAAGGAGCTGTCCACTGGGAATGGCGATGAAGAAATCAATGAGCTGCATGGAGAAAGACGGCTCTTCAAAGTGTTGAGAAGTCAGAGAACTCATCTGATAGGACAGGCAGCCAAAGGCCCTGCACAGGAAACTGCCACAATGAAGTAGAACTGAGGTGGTCATCCACCAAGAGCTAGGCCAGACACAACTCAGTCCTGGGGACACAAAAATGAAGACGGTGTACAGTCCTGGTGTTCAGTGAGCTCACAAGTAGTCAAGCACACAGCAAATCACAGTAGAAAGTCCTACCCGTCCCCATAGAACGAAGCCCGGACAGGCCCTTGTCAGGCGGTGGACATAGGGAGTGTCCCAAGAAAAGGGATAGCTAAACTGAGTGATGCCGAGATCAATAAAAGGTAGGACGTCCTAGTATAACTTGAAAGCATGTGAACACATCACGGTTAGTCAGCATTACTGGAAGCTAATGTGACAGGTAATCTGGCCAGCAGCGTGGTGGGCTGCAAGGGTGCACAGGTGAGGGTGGAGAACTGAGCAGGCACCAAACTCCTCTAAGGTGGCACTGGGCCTCACACTGACTGCCCAGCACCCATCACGGTGCCTGACTTGGAGTGGGCACTCCCACACCGTGGAACAGATCAGAAAATCAACCATGAGTCACTCTAGTCACTAAGTGGTGATTATGTCACCACTTGCTTCTAGAATAAACTGTGATTAAGAAAGATAACTTCCAGGAAAATGTACAAAACAGATCTGAAAATGAGATGTGAGTCTGGGAGTTATTAGGCAGCCATGGAAAACCGAGGTAGGAAGAGGGAGACCCTAAACCAAAGGGAGGCAGTGAGCAGGAAAAAGCAGAAGGAGCCTGCAGCTGGGAACTGTAGGGAACCCCACATCAGATGCCCTAGTTAAAGTGGCAGGAGTGTGCAGTGGGCAGCAGAAATGGACCAAATGAAAGCACGAATCTAGATAACCTCAGGAAGGATGAAACAGGCTTCGTAAAGAACACACACCCAACATGAAGCAGAAAAAGGTGACATTAAGGTTGCCAGTTCAGAAATCAGGTGTTGTCCCACCCACAGAAACAGTTTCAGAAGACTGTCCACATCCTGCTTTAGGGATGGATGTGGACATGACATCCCCTGAGAAGTTGGCAATACCGGGACTGGGACAGAGGAGACAAGGTCTTGCTTAGGCATCCCTGTGCAAAAGAGATGGGAGCTGTCAGAACAGGAAAACTTCCAGGGGGAAGAGGTCCAGACAGAAAGCTAGGGGTACTGACAGCATACACCAACAGGCCAAGAATGTTTCAAATGCTGCAGAAATGAGGAGTGGCAATTACAGATCAGCTCCAATGATGATTTTAGATTCTATGCTGCATAAAACTATCTGTAATGGCCAGGTACCATAAAGCACACTTGTAATTCCAGCTACTATGGAGGTGGGGATCTCATGAGGATTGCCATTCAAGAAAAGCCTGGAGAAAAAGTTTGTAAGACCCCAGTCACAACGAAAAGGTCATATATTGTGGTGCACATCTATAATCCCAGCTGCATTGGTAGTGTAAGTAGGAGGGTCATGGTTCAGGCCAGTCCCAGCAAAAACATGAGACCTATATGAGAAATAACTAAAGCAAAAAAGAGCTGGAGGCATGGTTCAAGTGGTAGACTCCCTACCTAGCTAGCACAAGACCTTGAGTTTAAACCCCAGGACTTCCCAAAAAAAAAAAAAAATATATATATATATATATATATATATATATATATATATATGTTCTTTATTATACGAAAGTATAATAAAAATGTCACAATGAAATCCATTATTTTGTGTAATTGCTATACAGTCATTTTTTTAAAGTATCTGTACTTACAGACTTCTCAGCTAAGAGTGTCATAAAAGAAGATTGAAATATAATATAGCATGATTGTCAATGCCTTATGAAATATTCTGTGCAATTAACCAAAAAACTAGCAAACTCAGAATACATGACAGTTTAATTTTTTCCAGAAATGGTCACCTTCTTTCCAGGTACACAGAGGTCAATTAGGTGACTGACACTTTGTGTATATACACAGAGATCTAATCAGAATTTGCATGTTAGAAGACAGACACAGAATTCAGTAGTCTTTCTCAATCCTATCATTGACACACCATTTTCCAGGGCTGAGGGTGCAGCTCAGTGGTAGAGCCCATGCTTAGCACACACAAGGCCCTGGATTCCATAACAGCACCCCAAAAAAGAAGGGGGGAAAAGTTTCTCTTAAAGACATCATTTTCCTAGCTTTGGCTTCTTACATTCTTAACAGTCTTTAGATTTTCTATCTGCTTTAAAGTTTAGCCATGACTGTCTAATCTGAAAGAATTACTTACAATGTAGGGAGGACCTAGGTCAACTGACAAGTGCGTGTTCCTGTAGAGGAAACTCTCATCTGCTTGTGAACTCTGAGCTCACTTGCTTTTTTATTATTTTTTTATTTATTTTTATTAGAATATGTTCATTGTACAGGGGGATTCATTGTGACAATTCCAAATAGACTTATATTGTACATTGGTTAGATCACCCCACCATCTCAACCCCTTGACCCCCTCCTCTACCCCACTTAAAGCAGTTGCAAGAGTTTCTTTGTTCTCTTTCGTGTAAGTATATGAAGTCCATCAGCCACAGCCTCTTCAACAAATGCTGCTGGGAAAACTGGATATCCACATGACTGAAACTAGATCCCTGTCTCTCACCCTGTACCAATATCAACTCAAGGTGGATCAAAGACCTTAATATAAGGCCTGAAACTTTGAAGCAACTCTAGGAAGTAGTAGGAACTACACTGGAACATATAGGCAGAGGGAATGACTTCCTATATAGAATTTCAGTGGCTCAGCAACTAAGAGAAAGAATGAACAAGTGGGACTGCATCAAACTTAAGAGCTCTGGCACAGCAAAAGAAACTGTCACTAGACTTAAGAGACAGCCCACAGAATGGGAGAAAATCTTTGCCAGCTTCTCATCTCATAAGGGACTAATATCCTGAGCTCACTTTCTACTGGTGTAAAATGGAGGAGGGTAATTCCTGCCTGGAAGGTTGTTGGTGTGAAAACACACCCATCAAAAGCCACAGTGAGTGCTCACTAAATGCTCATCCCACCCCAACTGGGGTTCTAGAAAAGAAAGAGTGGAGCTGAGAATAATCCTACAGTGACCCAAGGAACAAACACACACCCTGGAACAGTCCTCTTGTCAACTGTCTTAATACTAATATCAGATAAGGAAATTCAAATCGGGTGTCACAGATGTTCCAGAGGACTAAAGTGTCCCCAAAGATGTAAACAGAAGATGTGCTGACATTCATTTATACACAAAACCATTGTGAGGGAAGACAATCTTGAACAAAGCCTAAAAGACTAACAGAAAAAAAGGAACATCAACTTGAAAGATCTCATAAATCAGAGTAACTTTTGTTTAAAGTCTCCTTTTTCTTACCCTCTGAAAATTTATCCCTAGACATTATATTTAACCAAGAAAAACCAACACTTGTCTCTTAGATCAAAATTAATAGTAGAAACTGGTTTCTCAGCTTTTATCAAAAGTGAACATTTGCTTTTACTAATTTTATATAAATTCAATTTATTTTATGGGACAAAAGAATGAGGATTTTTATCCTTTAACACCAGGAAAGCTAAATCTTTTAAGTTCATTTT